TTTTCCTCCCAAGATCGTTTGGCTGATCCTCCAAACCTGCACAACTTGGCGCTGTACGAGGAGTGGGTGCTGTCAGGCAAACAGAGCGACATCTTCCTGGGAGACGTGTGGAGCGCTGCCAAAGAATTGAGCTGAAACAGGGCTACACGTTTTTCATCCCTTCCAATACCGCAAGAAAGCCCAGTATAGATGGCTTCTCATCTGATTCCTGGCTGGACATGGAGGAGGAGTCTTGTGAGCAGCAGCCCCAGGAGGAGGAGAAGGAGGAGGAGGAGGAAGAAGAGGGTGCAGATAAGGTGCCCAAGCCACCTGCCGATGGCCCTGCCTCACCCACCAGCATCCCCTCTGAGGACCAGGAGCCCCCCGGGAAGAAGCCCAAAGCACCTGCCCTGCGGTTCCTCAAAAGGACTTTGTCTAATGAGTCAGAGGAAAGCGTCAAGTCCACGACGATGCCCATAGACGACCCTAAGACGCCCACTGGCTCTCTCACCACCGAGGTCCCTGCCAAATGGACCCACCTCACCGAGTTTGAACTGAAGGGCCTGAAAGCTCTGGTGGAGAAACTTGAATCCCTCCCAGAAAACAAGAAGTGTGTCCCCGAGGGCATCGAGGACCCCCAGGCGCTCCTGGAGGGTGTGAAGAATGTCCTGAAGGAGCACGCTGACGACGACCCCACTCTGGCCATCACTGGGGTCCCCGTAGTCACCTGGCCAAAGAAGACTCCAAAGCCAGTGCTCCCCCACACTGCCGTGTGCCTAGTGTGTGGCGAGGCGGGGAAGGAAGACACGGTGGAAGAGGAAGAAGGCAAGTTTAACCTCATGCTCATGGAGTGCTCCATCTGCAACGAAATCATCCACCCTGGATGCCTTAAGATTAAGGAGTCAGAGGGCGTCGTCAAAGATGAGCTTCCAAACTGCTGGGAGTGTCCGAAGTGTAACCACGCCGGCAAGACCGGGAAACAAAAGCGTGGCCCTGGCTTCAAGTACGCCTCCAACCTGCCCGGCTCCCTGCTCAAGGAGCAGAAGATGAACCGGGACAACAAGGAAGGCCAGGAGTCGGCCAAGCGGAGGAGCGAGTGTGAGGAGGTGCCCCGGCGCCGGTCGGATGAGCACCCCAAGAAGGTGCCCCCAGACAGCATCCTGCGCCGAAAGTCAGACGATGTGCACCTGAGGAGGAAGCGGAAATACGAGAAGCCCCAAGAGCCGAGTGGACGCAAGCGAGCCTCGACTCTTCAGACGTCCCCTGGTTCCTCCTCTCACCTGTCGCCGAGGCCCCCTCTAGGCAGCAGCCTCAGCCCTTGGTGGAGATCCAGCCTCACCTACTTCCAGCAGCAGCTGAAACCTGGCAAAGAAGATAAGCTTTTCAGGAAAAAGCGGCGGTCCTGGAAGAATGCCGAGGACCGGCTGGCTCTAGGCAACAAGCCGCTCCGGCGCTTCAAGCAGGAACCGGAGGACGACCTGCCTGAGGCGCCCCCCAAGACCAGGGAGAGCGACCATTCCCGCTCCAGCTCCCCCGCAGCCGGGCCCAGCACCGAGAGCGCGGAGGGTCACGACGAGAAGAAGAAGGTGAAGATGCGCCGGAAACGGCGGCTCCCCAACAAGGAGCTGAGCAAGGAGCTGAGCAAGGAGCTCAATCAGGAGATCCAGAAGACGGAGAGCAGCCTGGCCAATGAGAACCACCAGCCCATTAAGTCGGAGCCCGAGAGTGAGAACGAGGAGCCCAAGCGGCCCGTGGGCCTCTGCGAGCGCCCCCATCGCTTCAGCAAAGGGCTCAACGGCACCCCCCCCCACCCCCCCCCCACCCCCCGGGAACTGCGACACCAGCTGGGGCCCGGCCTGCGCAGCCCACCCCGCGTCATCTCCCGGCCCCCTCCTTCCGTGTCCCCGCCCAAGTGCATGCAGATGGAGCGACACGTGATCCGGCCGCCGCCCATCAGCCCCCCACCCGACTCGCTGCCCCTGGACGATGGGGCGGCCCACGTCATGCACAGGGAGGTGTGGATGGCCGTCTTCAGCTACCTCAGCCACCAAGACCTGTGTGTCTGCATGCGGGTCTGCAGGACTTTTAAACACTGGTGCCGTGATAAGCGGTTATGGAGCCGCATCTACCTGACACCCTGCAGGTGCATAACACAACCGATGCTGAGCGGCATCATCGGGCGACAACCCCTCTCCCTGGACCTCAGCTGGGCCGATATCTTCAAGAATCAAATGAAATGGCAAATCAACCGTCTCCCAGGCCT